GTCCTGGTAGCAGTATCGAAGAAACTGTACTCTAAAAGAGTTAACCACTTTGAGAGCTGTTATGAAGACCTGTGGGTTTCGGTGAGAGTGAATATTAATGGTAAACTCGTGGACTGCTTGTTTTGTATAGTATACTTGCCCCCCTCCAGTAACTAATAGTTTATTAGATGGATTTCTTGACAACTGCAATATTGTAATGCAATCATGTAGTAACGACACAATAATATTGGGCGATTTTAATTTGAATTTTATAGATTGGATTACCGATGTTACCAAATCCGTAAACAAATTAACCCCTAACAATTATTGCTGTAATTTAGGATTTCAGTTTATAGACTTCTTGTCTTTAAATAATTTATCACAATTTAATGCTGTGAAAAACGCTAATAACAGAACCCTTGACCTTGTTTTAAGTAATCTTAAGAATATAAATGTTGTTGAATGTCCATGTCCAATAAGTAAAACTGATCGTCATCATCCTGCTTTAGAGTTAAATGTAAATATGTCAGTACCGCATTTGTTGAATAATAAATCTTTTGCTATTCACAATTTTAAAAAGGCTGATTATACCAAAGTAAATTCTAGGTTAAGTAGAGTTGATTGGGGTTTTGAATTTAGTAATTGTCAGGAGGTCGATGTCATGGTGTCTAGGTTTTACAAAATACTTTATTCCATTATTGATGAAACTGTACCAAAATCGAAGCCGCGTAATTTAAAGTTTCCTATTTGGTTTACGCCGAACTTAATTAAACTAATAAAAGAAAAAGAAAAGATCCGATTAAGGCACAAAATTTACAAAAATCCAAGAGATACATTAGAACTCAAGCTCTTAAATTACCGGGTTAAGTCGTTGGCCTCTAAGAATTATTTAGATTATATACAGGAAACCGAAAAATCCATTCAGTCTAATCCTAAAAGTTTTGGTCGTTCGTCCGTCATCGGAAATCCTGCGATTATGGTTTTCCAGAAGAAATGTACCTAGACAATCTCTCGGCTAATAGTGGTGAGGGGATATGTAATCTTTTTGCTCAACATTTTTCATCTGTGTTCTCCCAACCCAAGTGCACTGCAGCTCCTGTATTGTTCGATGTGTATCCACAAAGTTCTTTGCATGATATAGAAATAACAGAACGTAAAATCCTGAGTATACTGAAGTCGCTAGATATCTACAAAGGAGCGGGTCCTGACGGCATTCCTCCTCTGTTTATAAAAATGACATCAAAATATCTAACTCTTCCTCTAAAACAAATATTAGTAAATCGTTATTAACCAGGTCCTTTCCAACTGACTGGAAACGTTCCAATGTTATACCTATTTACAAGAAAGGAGATAAAAATAATGTTAAAAATTATAGACCGGTTTCAATTATAAGCTTATTTCCAAAGATATTTGAACGCTTAGTTTATCCAAGTTTAACAAATCATCTAAAAAATATTATATTATAGAGGCACAACACGGGTTTTCCAAAGATAAATCTACTGTTAGCAATTTGATGGATTACGTCATGAAAGTTGCAAGTGCAATGGATGGTCAAATGCAGGTGGATTCGATATACACGGATTTTTCTAGTGCATTTGATGTCGTGGACCATCATTTACTTATATCTAAATTAAATTCGTACGGCGTGCATGAGAACTTACTTCGTTGGCTAAGTTCTTATCTCAAAAATAGATTACAAAGTGTCGTATTGCATGGATATAAGTCTAATGATTATGTGGCTCTATCAGGCGTACCACAAGGTTCACATATTGGTCCTATTCTTTTTTTGGCGTTTATTAATGATATAACACATAACATTAAGTTCAGCCACTGTTCCATTTTCGCCGACGATTTAAAATTGTTCAAAGCTATTAAAAACCAGGATGATGTTCAAAAAGAACTGTACGTATAAGTATTCCCAAAGTAAAATCCATATTCGCCAAAAGGAATTATAATTACGTAGCTCCCAAGTTATATAATATACTAAATAAAACAGTGTGCACAAGAAAGGTTTCAAATCATACATTTAAAAGTATGTTATACAATTGGCTTAAAGAATGTGACTATGATAAATGCGAAAATTTAATAGCTCCATATAAATAATTTTATGTGCAGTGCAAAAAACACGGTACTACTACTACTACTACTACTACACACACACACACACACACACACACACACACACACACACACACACACACACGCACGCACGCACGCACGCACACATGCACGCACGCACGCACGCAGGCACACACGCAAGCACGCACGCACGCCCGCAAGCACACACGCACGCACGCACACACACACACACACACACACACACACACACACACATACACATATGTATATACTGTTAACTGAGTATTAAATATATATATCAACATTTCTATAATGTACTTTTGAGAACTATTACACAAAGAGTTACTGAATGGGAAGGAACTGACTCCTGAAATACAGGGTATCCTAGTTTGGGAGTCAGGGCTCAATGATGTTGTATGAAATTAGAAGTTTCAAATAAAGAAATTATTATTATTATTTGGGGTATCTATATAGTTTTCTCATCTGGTTGGGTTATATAAATATATAATTATAAATTAAAATGAAACGATAAATATACATAAATATCAATAAAATAAAATAAATACAAAAAAACATAAATAAATAAAAGCCCAAGCAGATGGAAGCCCTCGGCAGGGGAGACCAAACGGCCGAGGGTTAGGAGGAAAGGGCGAACCGGAAACCGGCGGACGATGCGGGCGGTATCGAGGAGCACCGCCTTTTGCATTTGAGCTCGGAGCGGTCTGTCACGGAGTCCCAGTCGCCTCAGATGACCCGAGAGGCTGACTGGGATTAGCCCATTCGCAGAGACGACTACAGGAATAATTTCGGCCGGCAGACCACCCCACATATCGGTCACCTCGTGAGCCAGGTCCAGATATTTTGTTCGTTTATCTGTTTCGGCTTTCACGAGGTTCTCGTCATACGGAATGGTAATGTCGACCAAAAATATCCTTGACTATGCCCGGTCCATCAGCACAATATCAGGCTTATTCGCAAGAATAGTCCTGTCTATGATGATGGCCCGGTCCCAGTAGAACCTAGCGCAGTCATTTTCGAGCACGGCTTCCGGTAAGTACTTGTAATACGGCAATTTCTGATCCACGAGACCGTATTTCATAGCGAGCTCCTGGTGTAGAATTCTGGCTACTAGGTTGTGCCTGTGCAAGTACTCAGAGTTAGAAAGCGCCGAACAACCGGAGATGACATGCCTAAGTGACTCACCGGGATGGCGACAAGCTCGACAGACGTCGATGGTGCCATCCTTTAGGATGTATCTCCGATAGTTGTTGGTCTTAATAACCTGATCCTGTATTGCACAGACAAAACCCTCGGTTTCCCCAAAAAGGTCACCGAAACGTAGCCAGTTGAGGGAGGCGACTGTATCTACGAAGGGCTCATGTAGCCCTGTAGTACCTCCCGTGGAGCTCCTTCTCCTTCCATTCGGTCTCCCGGTCGGAAATATTTTGTCGGCAGTACAAAATATTTCCGACCGGGAGACCGTATCGGTCTTGCCATTGCTCGTTGGCTAAGGATAGAGGGGTAAGTCCTTTTCACTAGAAATGACGTCATTATAGAATGGATCATCCGATCTCACCAGGAAGTAATTACGGAGGCTGCACACTTCGCGATTATGAATGGTGAGCGCGCTCAGGAAGCCACGCCCACCATGCTTTCGCGGCAAGTACAGCCTCATTACCGACGATCTCGGATGATGCATCCTATGGGACGTCATGGTAGTGCGGACTTTTCTATCCAGGGCGTTAAGTTCGGTCTGAGTCCATCTGAGTATGCCAAAGGTATTCATGAGGACAGCCATGACCCAGCCGTTATATGCGTGTGCCTTATTCACACTGGATAAAAGGCTGTTAAGCACTTTGGTCAAGCGTGCATAAAACGTGTCGCAAACTGAATGTTTCATACCAGCCTCATCGATACCGATGTTATGTGACATACCCAGGTATCGGTATGTTTCAGCCTCGGAAAGGGTTCTTAAGTTGACGGGCATAGATAAGTCTATGCCCTCAGAGTTAGCAACCCTACCCCTCTCAACATGGAGGACCGCACACTTATCCGTCCCCAGCTCCATTCCAATAGAAATGCTAAATTCACAAGTGATGTTTAGCAATTCCATAAGATGGGAGTGATTGGAGGCGAATAATTTGAGGTCATCCATATAGAAAAGGTGGGTCACTTTTGTACATCCTTTCCGAAGCTGAAATCCCCTCCCGGAACCCTCCAGTAAAGTACTGAGAGGGTTCAAAGAGAGGCAGAACCAGATTGGACTCAGACAGTCGCCCTGGAATATACCCCTTCTTATCCTTATGCGGCTTTCCGCAGCCGTCATCCGCTCGCCTAGATGACAGAGGATCGTACTCCACTGCCCCATACACTGCTCGAGGAAGTCTCGAACTGTACAGTCAATCTTGTACAGCTCGAGGACCCTCTTTAGTGGTATGGGGCACCGAGTCAAATGCCTTTCTGTAGTCTATCCAGGCGGCGGAGAAGTTCCGACGGTTGCGTTTCACCACTTTGCCTCCGAGTGACTCCGAGACTCACAGGAGTGGTTCCTTGGTTCCGCGACCGCCACGCCCATTTTGAGCGCGTGACATCACCTGATTTGATTCCAGGTGACGAGTGATTCTCGCACTCAAAATGGATGTTAGTGTCTTGTATATAGTCGGCAGACACGTGATGGGGCGGTGTTTGCTCGGGTCTGTGGTAACCTGGTCTTTAGGAACCAAATGAGTGATCCCAGTAGTGAAGAGGCTCGGGAGCGACTTGTGGTTGAGAGCCTCTTGGAACTGTCGGGCGAGCACAGTGTGACACATAACAAACCCCTTCAGCCAGTAGTGATGCAGCCCGTCGAGTCCCGGACTTTTCCAGTTCGGGGCCCTAAGGACCGCCTCAGCTACGTCATCCGGCGTTATAATGACGGGGTCCATGGGCGTTATACTCGCATACTAACTCGCCACAACTTCCGTCCAAGGGACCTCGCTGTGGTTTACGGGCTCTGACCACAGGCCGCGCCAGAATGCTACAGTGTCGGCCTGATTCGGTGCTGGGCCCGTTCCACTTACCATTGGTCGCTCCAACGATTTATAGAGCCTCTTCTGATCACTCTGGAAGAGACGATTCTGGTTAAACCGTGTCGACCTCTCGGTATATCGCCGAATCCGCTTTCCCCAAGCAGCGATTCTCTGCTTCAGGTCGTCTATGCGCTCCGTCAGTTTTTGCATTATACCCGGCTGGGACAAACTAACATTTGTCCCAGCAAATGCCATCCTGACGGTGCGCACAATCCTTGGCCTGTTTTTGCTTGACCTGAAGCATATCAGTCTGCCGATGAGGGCCCTAGCCTTTGCGATACGTTCTTCAATTCTTATTCTCCAGGCTGGCATAGCGCTACTTTGTCCAGTAGCGCGTCCAGCCGTGGAAAGTTTAGCGCCTATAATAAGGCACACTGCCAGTGCGGCGCCAAAAAGAATTGAGTCCGTCTCGCAAAGGTCCCGACTGGCTTCAAAATAGGTCACCAGCATTGGGTTCAGAGCCCTCACGACAGCCCAATTCCGCTTGCCCCGCTATGCGGGGAAGTCGCGGTCGATTTTCGAGAGGCGTACTGCGCGTTTCGACAATCACCTCTTCTAATGTACTCCTCATATGCACTAATTCCAGTTCCTGGGCGACTGTTCCATCATCGTTTGAATCAACCACAACTGGGGTATTCACGGCGGCATTCACGTTTGCGGCTTGCTCTGCAATTTGTGGCGCCGCATCCTCAGCCGTAGCATTTTCATCCGATGAGGGAACAGCCTCACGTCGTAGTCGTTCGAGTTCGGCAACATCAAATATATTTGAGCGCAAGATATACCGAACCCGGTCTGCCAGGTTTTGCTCTGAGACGGTTAAAGATGGCTCCAGCTCAGCAAAAGGACGATGCATCCTAGCCCGATACGCCAAACCTCCAACTTCTCCCCCTTTCGCCCTAAATACGCCCGCAATGCATTAGTATTCATTTCGGTTGTCCATCGCATGCGGCGTACTCCACCAGTGGCGGGTACCGATTTCTGGGCCCGCGAAGACCCTGCCGACACCAAGCCAGCTAGTGGGGATGATGGATGCGAGGGGCTGATGGGTGGTCGTGCAGCACCTCTCGCTCGGCTGGCGGTTCGCATGCTGTCGCGTCCAGCGCCAGCTTCAGACGCGCCCTGGCGACCTCCAGGCAGCAGCCCTTTGCGCGTTTTTGCATATTCCATCATCCATAAAAGTGGACGTCATTTTACGGGAGACGACCAGACCCGGCGCCGTTTTATGGTGGAGCCATGTGCACAAGCGGGCCTTTGCGCCTTTAATTTTTGCCGAGGCACGGCACTAACACCTTTTGGCAAGGTGCTGACTGACTGCGCTGACGTAGTGGTTTTGTCACATAACCGTTACGTCAGCGGGCGATGGGGTCGTCACTTCCCTACGCCATTTTATTATTATTATTATCCATACCATTTATTATTATTATTATAATTATTATTATTTTGGGGTATTAGTGGTGTACTCTCATTTCATTGGGCTGAATAAATATATAATAGGAAATGATAAATATACATGAATATATATTTAATATACTAACATAAATAAATAATACAAAAATAAATAGAAGCCCAACCAGATGGAGACCCTCGGCAGAAGGGACCAAACGGCCGAGGGTTAGGGAGAAAGGGAAAGAAACCATCGGACGATGCGTGCGGTATCGAGAAGCAGCACCTTCTGCATTTGAGCCTGGAGCGGCCCGTCACGGAGTCCCAGTTGCCTCAGATGACCCGAGAGGCTGACTGGGATTAGCCCGTTTGCAGAATCGACTACAGGAATAATTTCGGTGGCAGACCACCCCACATGTCGGTCATCTCGTGGGCCAGGTCCATATATTTTGTTTGCTTATCTTTGTCGGCTTTCACGAGGTTCTCGTCATACGGAATGGTAATTTCGACCAAAAATATCCTTGACTGTGCCCAGTCCATAAGCACAATATCAGGTATATTCGTAAGAATAGTCCTGTCTGTGATGATGGCCCGGTCCCAGTAGAGCCTTGTGCATTTTTGAGCACGGCTTCCGGCAAGTACTTGTAATACGGCAATTTTCGGTCCACGAGACCGTATTTCAGAGCGAGCTCCTGGTGAAGAATTCTGGCTACTAGGTTGTGCCCGTGCAAGTACTCAGAGTAAGAAAGCGCCGAACAACCGGAGATGACATGCCTAAGTGACTCACCGGGATGGCGACAAGCTCGACATATGTCGACGGTGCCATCCATTAGGATGTATCTCCGATAGTTGTTAGTTTTAATAACCTGATCCCATATTGCACAGACGAAACCCTCTGTTTCCTCGAAGAGGTCACCAAAGCGTAGCCAGTGGAGGGAGGCTACTGTGTCTACGAAAGACTCATGTAGAGCCTTGTAGAACCTCTCGTGGAGCTTCTTTTCCTTCCATACGGTCTCCCGGTCGGAAATGTAGCACTGCTGGGTCTAGCCATTGCTAATAGGCTAAGGATAGAAGGGTAAGTTCTTTATCACAAGAAATGACGTCCTTATTGAATGGATCATCCGATCTGCCACTACAGCCTCATTACCGACGATCTCGGCTGATGCATCCTATGGGACGTCATACTAGTGCTGACTTTTCTATCCAGGGCGTTAAGTTCAGTCTGAGTCCATCTGAGTATGCAAAAGGTATACATGAGGACAGGCATGACCCAACCGTTATATGCGTGTGTGTTATTACCACCAGATAAAACGCTGTTAAGCATTTTGGTCAAGCGTACAAAAAACACGTCGCAAACTGACTGTTTCATACCAGCCTCGTCTATACCGATGTCCTTTGAAATACCCAGGTATAGGTATGTTTCAGCCACGGAAAAGGTCCTTAAGTTGATGAGCATAGATAAGCCTGCGCCCTCAGAGTTAGCAACCCTTCCCCTTTCAACATGAAGGACCGCACCCTTATCCGTCCCAGCTCCATTCCATTAGAATTGCTAAATTCACAAGTGATGTTTAGCAATTCCACTAGATGGTAGCGACTGTATGTGAATAACTAAAGGTCATCCACATAAAAGGTGGGTCACTTTTTTACCTCCTTCCCGAAACTGAAAACCCTCCCGGAACCCTCTAGTAAAGTACTGAGAGGGTTCAAAGAGAGGCAGAACCAGATTGGACTCAGACAATCGCTCTGGAAGATATTTTTTTATCTTTATGTGGCTTTCCGCAGCCATAATCTGCTCGCCTAGGTGACAAAGGATCGTACTCCACTGCCCCATACACTGGTCGAGGAAGTCTCTAAGTGTACAGTCAATATTGTACAGGTCGAGTTCTTTAGCCACGTATGGGGCACCGAGTCGAATGCCTTTCTGTAATCTATCCAGGCAGAGAAGAAAATCCGACGATTACGTTTCACCACTTTACCAATGACCAAGTCAATGAAAAGTAGTTCCTTAATTCTACGACCACCGCCCGACATCCATTTTGAGCGCGCGAAATCACCTGATTTGAGTCCAGGTGAAAATTGATTCTCGCCTTCAAAAAGGATGTTAGTGTCTTGTATATGGTCGGTAGATATGTGATGGGGTGGTATTTGCTCGGGTCTGTGGTCTTTAGGAACTAAATGAGTGATCCCAGTAGTGAACAAGCTCGGGAGAGACTTCTGGTTGAGAGCTTCTTAAAACTGTTGGGCGAGCACAGTGTAACACAACACAAATCCCTACAGCCAGTAGTGATGCAGCCCCTCGAGCCCCGGACTTGTTATACACACATATATATATATATATATATATATATATATATATATATATATATATATATATATATATATATATATATACATATTGAAATAATTCAAATGTAACTTTACTTTCATAGTACTTAACCGTCTGCGGTCTGTGTACTACTTGGGGTGGTCATGAGAAGGTCATGAAATTCAAGATTACTTTTAACGCAATCCTAAAGATAAATCCTAAATTATTTTTCAATAAACATGTGTTATAAAAATGATTTACGTACTTATAAATTGCAATCTCTTGTGTCTTCCTATAACCTAGAAATCTTACCTCTATCTGCCACCCACCACTTTCCCAATTGTACTCCATCTCTTCTAGATCTGATTATCGTATCGTCTTTAAATAGTGTTGCTAATCACGGATAAATATGCATTCATTTATTATTTTCATATCACGATCTCATTTACCGATCTTACCGTGTACGTCCCCTAAGTACAAGCCACATATTTGATATCTTAGAAGTTATAAGGGCATTAACTTGGAGACGTTGAGGGGCGATGTTCTAATTTTAGATCTATATAATCACCATGCACCAGTAAAACGTGTGAAAATAGGACACAATCCAGCTCCCTGGATCACAGCTGATATAAAAGACTTGATGGCGCGTAGAGATAAACCCAAAAGAAAATATAAACGATATCCACCTGAACGCAATTTAATCAGCTTTAAAATACTATAAAATCGCTGCAATCGTTTGTGTAGAGATTCTAAACGGCGCTATTTTCATGATACCCTCACAAATTGAGATACTGCAAAAGCCTAGAGTTTTCTGAGATCTATTATCGGTGTCGGAAAATATTCTGCTAGTGTGAGAAGTGAAATTAACTTGGATAATCTCAACGAAAACTTTGCCAACCCTCCTGTCATAGTCTCATCATTCACTAAAGCCAGAATACCCTACTCGAAATATCCAAATGCTCAATTCCTCATTATTCCTCGTTTAATTTCACTTCTATTACTGAAGATGATACCAAGCGATCCGTGCTTGCAATTTCATCGACTACTATTGGAAATGATAACATCTGCTCTAAAATGATTACGTTGATTCTTCCCTTTGTGATCCCTATTCTTACTCATATCTTTAATTTCTCTTTATCTTCTTGTTGCTTTCCGTCGTCATGGAAGTTAGCCCATATTATCCCTGTACCCAAAGTTTCGAATCCTTCATCTACAACTCATTATCGGCCTATTTTTATTCTACCATTTCTTTCAAAAGTGCTTGAACATATTGTCCACACACAACTGACTAAGTTTCTTAACCGTAACAATATCTTAAGTACTTTTCAATCTGGTTTTAGCCTGGCCACAGTTCAACTACTGCTCCCCTCAAGGTAACGGATGATATCCGGTGCGGTATAGACCAAAATTACTTAATATAGTACTCGTGCAGCTAGATTTTAGTAGTGCCTTCAATTCTATTGATTTCGATATACTTCTTAGCATTCTTCATTCTATTAATGTGTCTCCTTCAACTATTCAATGGTTTGATTCCTACCTCCGTGGTCGTTCTTACTGTATTCGTTCAAATGAAACTTTATCTAAGTGGTGCAACCTAGCTACGGGTGTTCCTCAAAGTGGTGTCCTTTCTCCTTTACTCTTTTCTGTCTTTATTAACTGTATCACCAAGGTGATATCTTCAAACTTTCATTTCTACGCAGACGATTTGCAGCTGTATCGGCATTTTCTAGTGACTGAAGCAAAAATTCAGCAATATTTGAAATAAATAAAGATCTAAATAAAATTTATGAGTGGTCTAGATCATATGGAATTGTTATAAATCACAAAAATCACACGCAATTATTATAGGCACCAAGTTTACTCGTAGCTTACTTGATTTTACTTCACTCCCAGTACTGCAAATTAATGGCACTCCACTAAGCATTTCAGAAACTGTTAATAATCTGGGCATCATAATGGATTGCAAATTGACATGGAATGCACATATCACAGAAGTAAGCAGGAAAATCAATTATAACTTACATTTTTTAAAATGTCTTCAAAGGTTTTTGCCTTTATCAACGAAGATTTCTCTTGTCCAAATACTTATTTTCCCGATGATGATTATTCTGATGTCTGTTATTTGGATGCGACTGAGGAGCAATTACACAAACTAGAGCGCTTGC